AGTCTTCCAAGAGGACCTTTGCATTCTTTTGGGGTTCATTACACTTTTCTTTTCGTTCACTTTCTATCTGTTTTTCTTATTATGTGTTCAGCTATTTGTGTTTTGCTATTGAACTATTTTCTCTTGGACTCTGAAGATGAGATAGGTTTCAAATATCTGAGCTGCGCATTCAGGCTAGACCTTGTGCGTGCCGGTTAAATTTCAGAGGATATTGTTCATGTGCTCTGTGGATGCTACACAGATTTCTTCACGTTATTAAACTATTCATCGACGACTCTGCTGCATAACGAAGCGCTAGGAGGACTGTTTAATCGAAAGGAGGAGCACGAAATTTCTGGGCCGTTAGTTGGTCGGTGGCGCCTTTGATTGGCCCAAATGAAATGCATGATACTATCCTTTTTCTGTCTAATTCCTCCTTTCTGCAGTTCTCCATGTTCATTGAACGTCTAAAGTGCACGTATGATGTAGTTTTTATAATCAGATAACCATGCAGTTCTAGTTCTTCATATTCACACAGCCGGTTCTTCATGAGGTGGGTCTTCGTCCTATTTATGCGTAATCCAATTCTTTTTCCAGCTTCGTTGAGTTCATTGAGCATCGTCCCTGCTACACTAGTGCTCCTCGATAACAAGAACGGTGTCATCTGCGAACGAATATTTCATGGAAATTTTCCATTAGTCCCTGTGCCTTTCATGTCCTAATCAAGTGACTTCACAATTCACTGCAATGCCGCGGTGAATAGCTTTGGCGATATTGTCTCGTCTTGTCGAACCACTTTTCCTATGGAAACGGTAAGAGGTCGATGGAAAAGTTGTGCATTTGTGTATTTGTGCTGCACTTCTGATAGCAGTCAGCTAGTGTTCATAAAATGACGGGTCCACTCCTTGATCAACGACGTAGGATTTTATTCGTTTCGACAGTGGTTACCACCTCTGTCTCATGGAGTCGATCGTTCATTTTAATAAAATGATAAAGGGTAAAGCTCTGGGCGTTAATTAATCCCTGAGAGACGCGCCATGCATTCGACTTCGTTGAGTATCGTTGGAGGTGAATGAATGCATATCTGGCCTTTAGAATGACTCGCGGTGGCCTGCCGATGTATCGAGCCAGTGCTGCTATCCTCCCAGACAAGTTTGGTATCAATTTGCCGATCTTGGAGGGATAGAGGCTTGGTGTGCCATGGACGCTGAGATCGATTCCACGATTCTCGATGTGTGTCACAGTGGCGCCTCCAACATTTTAGTACTGTTCATAAATACTAAAATACGGTTACTTTTGTGAAATGCAACCACAGTGATGGTGAGATATTTGCAAATCTTGGACCGAAGGCCAAATCGAACCACGACTTTTGTTTCCGGGGGCTTGAGTTTTATGCACTTCACCACTGAGGTTTACATAAGCCGACAAATTAATGTTAGAAAACACTGACTAGTGAACCACTGTAAACTAACGCGCATGTGAAATATTATGTATTCAACCATCTTTACGATGTGATTTTTACGAACTGCTCTTGAACTGGAGCGAGATTGGTAGCAATTGTTGTCGTTATTTTACTTTATATCTACGATAATTGATGAAGTCGAATGCACAGCGCATCGAGGTGATTATTTTCGAAGAGGCTGAGCTTTATGAGGCTTGTTAGCCGAGTCTTGTGATAGAGTTTGCGGAACTAATTTGTCCTAGCGCAGATTTTCCTTTGTTGTCCTTAATGACTCTGCAAAGGCTTAAATCGAAATTTTGTTCTCAGCAGTTTTGTTTCAATATAAAGTAGAACTGGCCTAATGCAGTTCAGTCACGTTCCAGCCATTACCGCGATTTGAGCCAGTTTAGAGCTTCTCGAAAAACTCTACGCTACTAGTAAGCCCGTTTCCCGTTTTCATTGTAGGATCCGAATCAAACGGGTTTCCTCTTCGCTTCTGGGACCTGCATCTTTATTCTTATCCTCATTGAATAAACCTTTTTTCCAATACGCTGGAAATCCGCGTAGGGTAATTTGAATTATTTTTCTATTCTTAACAATTCTAGTTTTCAACAAGGAAAACTTATTCTACAGGAAAGGAAAACGACTTAGTGAAGGGAATTTTTTTGATACTGGAACTTCTTTCTAGCTATAAACTTAGTTTTATTTGGTTATTTTATTCTTCAATGAAATAATAGCTTAATCAGCAAAGTTCTCAACATTAAAGAGATTGAAATCGAAGTTGGACTACCTGTAACTTCGTTGGCCACATTGTTCTGTTGTTTTATCGCTGACAACATCTACCTAGACGGTTGCGCATAGCAACGAGTTCGAAATAGGCAGGTATTTACTCATCTCATCAACTTCACCTTTACGATAACATTGTTTTCCTACAGCCTAACAAACCTATAACTTTAGTCTTGCGATTTCTTAACGTTGCCACGTCGCATATTGTCAGTGCTAGAGATTTGATTGGTAGGACTGGAATCATTGAAAATATCAACGTCATTGTGGAGAACCAATTATTTTCACCTATACTCAGTTCTTGGATAGCTGCTCAAACACAATAGCATGAGCAACCTTGGACTAAAATCGCTTTTTTTTGTAGAAAGAAGCGCTATACATAGCTTATTTCACGTGGTTTGGCAAGTAAAGGGTAAAGGATGTAGCTCGCGGCGTTGATTTATGCCTGAGAGACGCACCATACATTCTACTTCATCAAGCATCGTTTGGAAGTGTTTGAATGCATATCTGGCCTTTACAAGGACTCGCGGTAGCCTACCGATATATCGAGCCAGTGCTGCTATCCTCCCAGACAAGTCTGGTACCAATCTGCCGACCCCGATGGGATGGAAGGGTTGGCGTGCCTGGGGCGCGGGATCGATCCCTCTGTGTGTGTTGAAGGGCACCATTGACCACTACGCCACACGCACTCTTTGTTTAGCATGTGCAATAGGAAAATACTTGTTACTTGATACTTGAATGACCCGTCCTCACTGGTTCTGCGGGCCCCCGTGTGTATAATCTCCATTTTTCGGAGATTTGCTGGTTAAACCATTATGGCACCCTGGTGTACCGAGGTCAGCCTGGCCAAGTTCTGCTCCAGGTCTTGACCAGCACATGCAGTCGCAGCCTTTGTGGATCAGAGGGAGATTTACCACAATGCGACTTTAATAACAGGACGGTGGTGGATCCTGGTATTGGTTTACTCTTAGCTGTGCTTCCTGATGGAAACGCCAAACTCCTTCTCAGCTTGGGAAACCCTGGCAGGGAATGGATCCTCCGTTTTATATCGCATTCTGACACTCAGAAACACCTCCTAGCCACGATGAGGCGGTAAACCGTTGGGGTTAATAGGAAAATATCATATGAAAAGTTATATTGCCCTTTGCGAAAAGGATTTTATGAAATTCCGTATTGTTAATGAAATCTGTTTGAAGTTTTTCATTTATTTCATTCCACGTTCAGCTGTTGAGTCGTTCTTCTATCTATAGTAAATTTTTTTTGGAGCAACCAGTGTTTTATGCTTTGGAAGATGTTTTGTTTCGCAATTTAACAAAGTTAGTAGGAGTCTTTCTTGAATAGGGTGATAAAAACATCATCACATTGAAGATTAGTCGATAGCGGAGCTTTTGTTTAGCACTGCTTCAGGAAATGTTCAAGAGGACCTTTTCCTACTTCTTTTTTAGCAATCTGATTGTAAATCCCATTTGTTTCCTTTCATTTGATTCCTCTTCCTTTTTACTATCTTAGGTTAAAAGGACAACGAGTAAAATTTTCGGCCTTGATCAGTTCTGAAGGATTCGCCATGCCTTTGACTTCATTAAGCATCGTTGGAAGTTGCTTTTGGAAAATACTTGAACGGCCCGTCATCACTAGTTGTACGGGCCCCAGCATAATCACCATTTTTCGGAGGTTTCCTGGCTAAGCCTTTGTGGTTTCCTGGAATGCATATCTGGCCTTCATAATGACTCGCAGTGGCCTACCGATGTATCGAGCCGGTGCTGCTACGCTCCCAGATAAGTTTGGTACCAATTTGCCGACCCCGGAGGGGTGGAAGTTTTGGTTGGCCATGGGCGCGGTGATCGATTCCACATGTGTTGCAGTGCATCTCCGACCACTGTGCCACACGCGCCCTTCTCGGATTAGTGGCTTGTTGCAATTAATCAAGAAGATCACAGAGAGGTTGTATCATCGATGCTTCAAATGACACATAGCTTTCTTTCCTTTGCTCCATTCATTATAGGAACTTCGGGCAAAATGCTTACCTCTTCTTAACCTTTGGTGAGAGTGCTAAGACGAATTCAATAGCTCTGCTCTATTGATCATTCCCTGACTTACCAGTAACTTAATACTTGATACTTGAACGGCTCGTCATCACTAGTTGTGCGGGCCCCAGCATAATCACCATTTTTCGGAGGTTTGCTGGCTAAGCCATTGTGGTTCCCTGGAATCCCGAGGACAGCCTGGCCAAAGTGTGCCCCGGGTCGTTACCACGATAGGCAATCGCAGCCCCTGTGCATCAGAGGGAGATCTGCCACCATGCCACTTTGATACCAGGACGGTGGTGGATCTTGGTATTGGTTTACTCTTAGTTAGGCTTCCTAATGGAAACGCCGGACTCCTAAGCTTGGGAGACGCTGGTGGCGGGACGAATCTTGCGCTGTACATCGCAGCCCGACACTCAAGAACACCTCCCAGCCACGATGAGGCGGTTAACCGTTGGGAGGGCTTGCCAGTAAAGACTGATCAATTTTGTTTTAATTATATCTTAATACATGTGGTGAAAAGTTTTAAAATTTTTCGCTTATCCATCGTTTATTTCATGATTTCTGCATTCTTCATTGATTGAAAAAGACGAAGAACAGAGAAACGTAACGCGATTTGTTTTGCACTCTGAGGAACTGAGGTTTCTCCACTCTTCAACGATACGCAGCAGCAGCTGAGAATGAAACGCCATCGATCCGAATGTGATCAGCTGTTTTCTGCTTAGCTCTCATCATCATTATCATCTTCATCGTCGCCGTCACCGTCTCTGTCCATGGCGTCGTTGGATGCGCCACCGCCGCTTGTGGTTAAGCGGCGCTTATCTGCTTCAACTTCAGACGCCAGCTGTGAGGACTCGACATCCACGGAGTTAGCCGTCGCCGAGGAATCTACAAAGTATGGATTTTTTATTTATTAAATTTACGATTAGCGCAATAGATCGTGTCAGAAACAGTGCGAGTTGCAAATTAAAACTTCATCTCTAGTTCTCTTTAACCGATATCCATGAAATTTCTATGTAAAAATTTCAATGTCTGCTATTCAGTGGGAAAGCCGCGTGTGCTAGAGCTCTTGAGAGTAAATAACTGAAGTAGTCGAGCATCATTGATCGTCTCCGATGATTACTTTTTTATTTAAGTTACTAAACTAGTTCTACGTTGATATTAGGATGCTTTGATAGGCGGCCTTCGCGAGTCCCATCATACTCAGTTTTGTTCTCTTATGATTATCGTCTATGTTAGTGGTTTGTTTCGTGTGAAAGCCGTCTTCAATTATCGTTAAATCGTTCCCAGCCAGTAGACCGAGTTCAAGTGTTTAGTGTTATCTAACAGTACATTTGCTCATAGCTGGTTCCCTAGAGTGTTGAACATTCTTAAATCGCCCTTTATCGTTTTTTTGTTGGTTAGTTCACAATTTTCTTGATAAGCAAACGGGGTGGTTATTACTGCATTGAGCCGTTCACGTTAACTGGCTGACGTTTCGGCGGTTTTGACTTGTTCGGTACCTAGAAAAGTCAAATTGACCCGCCATCCACTCAGTCGAACACTTTCGTAACCTTAGCAGATATAGTGCATAAATGTTGGATATTGATATTATATTGGATAGTTTCCTAAAATCTGAACAAGGTCCAATATGATTTTGTGGGTATCGGTCATATTTCGGAGAAGGGAACTCCAACGCTTGTGAATGTTGCGTAAAATAGTTGAGTAGTTTAATTATTAGCTCTTTTCTCTGCTAAATTATATTGGGTTTGGGGAAATGGTTAGGTGATAAGGAAAATTTGGTCGGCTGGAATTCTTGAACGTGGGTGCTTCCATCCTACCACAGGGTTTCTCGTTCTCCTTTTATATGTTATGGATGCTTCAAGTGTATATTGGGCGATATAGCTTCCGTAGTAAATCTTCCATACTTGCACTACTATCCTTTTCATCGCCTCAGTGAGGTTTCTAAGCGTCTCTTGTGTTTCAATTGAACTTCCCGAGAAAATGATAACGGTTTAATATGAATTCTCCCCCGCGATTTTAACTTTTAATTTATTCTCTAGTACAGTTCTACTTAGCAGGGTACTATATGAATTACAACGACAGCGATGCTTAGATATTTGTAAAAGTCCGAGCTGCAAGTGTCTGCAGTGGGGATCGGACATGCTATTACTCTTTGTAGGGGCTAACGCGTTCATCACCACGCTGTGCTGGTTCTTGGTTTCACTTAGCTAGTATTCTCTCTAACAGTGCCATCAGCAATCATCCTTCAACGGGTTTGATGTGGAGAGCACGAATTAGCATTGTACCCGTTAAGCTGGGGCTGTAGTCGAAATCACGATGTCAATTTTTTATTTGCTGCTTACTACAATTTTTCACGACAGGGTATTGACGGGTGATTAGTGATGGCACCGGTAGATAGAAAACTAGCTGAGAAAGAGAGAAAAAGAGAGGTGGAGAGAGATAAAGAGAGAGAGGAGAGAGAGGGGAGACGAAGAACCCACGTGATGCGGTGGTGAACGCGTTAGCCCAGGAAAAGGTAATAACGTGCTCGTTCCTCACCGCAGATAGCTGCGGTCCGAAATTTTGCAAATATCCTAGTATCATTGTGGTTGTTTTCATCACGAATTTACTGCTTTCTTCACAACCTCATTACTATTCTTTTCAATGCTAAGACTTTGGTATGCTAAGTGGTCATTTTTTGCCCTCTCAAAAACAGAATTTCCTTGGGAAAGTCGTGCTATATATGGCAGCGGCCGTTTAATTCCCAAAATTGGACCTCCAATCGGACAGTATTCGTGGAGTCTTTTGCGAAGATGATTTCAGGTCTTCACCGCAGTTGTGGATGCCGCCCTCTTTGGGTTTAATGAAAGTTACATTTTCTTTCTATGTTCTGTCCAAGGCAGTGGCGATCCCTGCCATCCATTAATTTGCTCATCTCTGGGCTTTGTGATGAAAATTTCTAATTCATTGCTTGTTGTTGGAAGGGGTTGCCCAATTTTCCGTAAACCCTAAACTAGTTATACCAGTTCGAAACCGAAATAGGTGTCTTACAACACAATCCTTGATAAGTAACACGATAAATCTATGGAAATCTGTGTTATATTAATAACAACCTTAAGGTGGTAACTTACTCTTTTTTTGCCGCATTTCTGCATTGAATGTGCACTCTAGGTGAAATGGAGCATTGTAAGGTCAATTCTAGAGCGCCTCATTATTGTTGGTTGGTTTAGTTTAGTTGGGAAAACTTATTCGCAACGAATAAATATTTACACTACTGTTAATTAATAAAAGGAGGAAAAAAATAGATGAGGACATTCAGTTTTGTAGAGCTTCGTATTATAGTTTCTTGATTGTTAGATTGGCGGTCTTTTAACGTTAAATTAAATGTTTCCATAAATATCTGGTACGCGACTGATAGGACCAGAAGGTAAATTTCAGTACTAGTTGCACCCAAAAAGAGTAGAACTCAAGGATTTTTGTCAGAACTTCACAATTATTTCCATGGCGATGGTTTATCGCTTAACCGTACCTAGCAGTTTTCTCTATATAAGACCACATGTCCATCACAGTGTTCACATTCCACTCCATCCACAGATTGGGAGGTAATCGACATTGTCTTGCGTAATACTGCATCATCCTGATCATAAACGAATTTTTGCTATTCTGGAGCAGACCTAATTGCACGACGTGTTTCTGTGGCGATGACTCGAAAATGTCCTGGGAAGGTTTCTGATGTCAAGGAAAAATCTTCCTCTACCAGCGAAATAGCATTCAGGCAAAGTTGTGTTGTAGCGCGTACAATACTTTGATACTTGGACAGATGGACGGCCCGTCCTCACTGGTTGTGCGGGCCCCAGCATAATCTTCATTTTTCGGAGTTTTGCTCGTTTAGCCATGGTGGTTCTCTGGAGTCCAGAAGCCATGGAGGCTTGAGTTTGCCACAAGTCGTCACCACCACAGGCAGTCGGCGCTCTTGCAGATCAGACAGAGAGAGAGAGAGAGAGAGAGAGAGAGAGAGATGTGTCACCATGCGACTAGTTTAATACCTGGACGGTGGTAGTTCCTGATATTGGTTTATTCTTAGCTGGGCTTCATAGTGGAAACGCCGGACCCCTCAGCTTGCGAGACGCTGCTGGAGGGATGAATCCCCCGCTGTACATCGCAGCTCGACACCCAAGAACACCTTCCAGCTATGGTGTGGAGGTAAACCGTTGGCAGGAGCACGTACAATGTCTGTTGAAAACAACCATTTCAGCTATCAAGTATATAGTATATCATATCGTACTATACTACGTTAACTAATTGAAATTTAGGCTTCTTTGCCTTCAAAATCTGTCCTTAGATAAATAAAAACGGAGAAAAATGTTGATGATGTCTCAAGAAGATTATCTATGTTATAGTGAAGTGTATCTATTTAGTCGATCAAGTTTCGCTTTGCTGGTAAGTGGCATGGCATGCGGTCAACGGAAAGACTTTGAAAATCTACTGGCTCTTAACGTCGAAGACTGCTCAGTTATTCCGAAAAAAATTCCTTCCACAGTTGTAGATCGGTAAGTTATCAGTTTGAGTAAATCTATGCCGTTTGTTTTCCGACAAAGAATAACAACTATATCTGGTAGATTAAATGTCGGTTATGTCTTGTCATACTAAAAATTTTATTTTTTTTATTTTATTTTATGTGACCCGTCTTTACGTCTACTGTGCAGGTGCCAGCACTTCTCACATTCGATTCGTTTCCTCGCATCCACTGTCCACGAAGATCTTCCTATTTTACGTGTGGCTTCGACTGCTGCTTGACGATTTTCGTTTCATCTTAAATATCATAGAATTCTGGCCGAGCAATTCTCCTGGAGTCCTGAGATAGCCGGGCTGGAACGTTCTCAACTGGGTTGCAGAGCGCGATTTTTCCCCAGACAGGTCCGGTATCAATTTCCCGAACCCGGAAAAATGAGAGGCTTGGTTGGCCCGGAACGGAATCGAACTACCACCATGCTCGTGATGACAAACATCACTGGCACCGTGTTATCTGCCCTTATCATACGAAAAATGCAGTGGAGAACATCAAGATTCTAGTGGTGAGTGTGAGTCGACAACGCGCACTAAATATTCTGAATTGTTAAATGCCACATTACAGTTTTTTTGATTGATATGCACTTTTCCGTCAAAAATTTCTTTCAGAATGTAATAAGCTTGTGCTCTATGTGCTGTATTCTTTGGAAGTTATCTAAGGCCGTAAAATCTCTCTGAAAATGGGAGGAACAGCTAACATACCTGCTTAAAATTTCAATAGAACGTTTAGAATTGAGTGAAACATTACACTTAAAACTCTTGGAAAACAAAATTATTCTTGCCTCTTGTTCGATAGAAAATGCATGATCTTCCTACAAATCTCTTTGAAGGGGTTTTACACTATCTTCCATGTTTTCTCTACTTATGTGGTACAGGGAGGGCGCTTGTGGCGCGGTGGTCTGAGGCGCCCTGCAACACACACGTGGAATCGATTCCCGCGCCCATGGCCCACTAAGCCTATAAACGAGCACTGCTGTGTGAGGACGCATCATTGGAGCGACGCTCCACTGATGAAGGTCCAAGGTCGATAGGACGACGAAGACACCATATCGAAGGCACGAAGGACTTTACGCATCGACTCCGATCATCAACTCTGAGGAAGACGAAGACGTCGAAACGTTGTCCGAATGAAGTTTATTTATTTACTTCGTGTTAGCTTATCACTGAAGGAATACCTACACCTACATTTTAATCGCACTGGATGCATTTTCCTCAAACACTCTCCGTCATGTAAACTCTTCGTGGTTCGTCTCTATCGGTAGGAGGAAACTTTGTAAAAAAAGAGTTAGTGTCTAAAGAAGCTGAAATCTTCTCATCAAGAAAGTTTAAAGTTCGTGTAATTTAGTGATAAGATAATAAGGCAGAGAATATGGAAGAGTAGTACCGCACATAATCATTTGCGATATTCAATCCCACCCATCACTCATCGCCTGACTGGAGTAAGTACCAATTAAGTCTTCACTCATCAAAATCTCTCGCAAAAGTTGTCGGGTGAGTACAGGTCACGAAGAGCATTTATTTTCGTAAAACAGTTGGGTTCTTTGACGGCAATGTTTTGTAGAAGCAAAGTCATCAAAAGCTTCTTGAGCAGAGTGGAGGTTCAGCGCTTTTGTTGGATTCTGTGGAAAGCATACTATAAGCTTTGTTTGTATTCTGTGGAAAGCATACTATAAGCTCATGCGTAGCAGAGACAAAAACGCTACCCTATGAAATCAGATATGTCTTAAGCAAGTACAAGATCGCTTACATTCGACCTTCAACGTTCTATCAGCCTTCAGAAGATAGATTCGAGAATAAATTGACTGAGATAACACGCGATAGGTACGTGGAATATATTATATAGTCGCAAACTTCTTATGTCTTAGGAACATCCAGTTCGCTATGAGGCGTCACGAATCCTTAGAAATCAAGCCAAAGATCACACGTGACCGAAAAGTAACTAAGCCTGGCTTGAAGACGCTCATGTAATCAGAAGCGGTTTTTATGCAGGAATACTTTCCACTTCTAAGGTAATGGAGTGAAATAATTTAAGCAGCTAGGATGTCTAGGTACGTTAACACATTCTTGTGGGTTGCATGCCCAAATTTGGCCATAATTCTGTGCTCTATCGAACAGTAATCGATTATATGACAAACTAAGAATGCAAGCGACAAAAAATGACTCCTTTAGGCTGATTCAAATAAGAACCCAAAATAGATGGATAGGATTTCTCAAATGAAGAGCTTTAAAAAAAAAAGAAAAAAGAAAGCTACAAGAGCTGATTTTGGTCAAAACAGATATCCTCAATAATATCAATTGACATGATGCTGAACAATCGGAACCAAAGGTCTACTCTTGAAAAGAAAGTAATTCTCCGCGTTCTGAATAGTCTTGCTCAAGTCGGACATAGCATTGCAAACAGCGTTTGCTGCCGTCTGTTCCCAAGTATTTTAAAGCTTTTGTGTACCAAAGCAGTGACTTGTCTTCTCAAGCACCATATATCGATACTTGAAGTGTCTAGTCATTGAAAAAAAAAACAAAACGCCTAAAATTCACGGATAACACACATGGCTAGGAAATTATCCTCTCTCACTTCTACAACCTTCATTTGTCATCGAGACTGGTGACACATAACCTAATGCAAAAGGTGAATCACACAGGCATTCTTAGCTCGCTCCTCAATGGTTAGCCTGTGTGAGTGGATTTTAAGTCGCACATTCGAAAGTGGACCGATCGGCCAGTGTGAGCGGATAAAGGCGAAAAACTACGTATCAAGTAGATACGACAGTTTCGGACTCAACATGTTAATTTCCATCGCAACTGTATGTCACGAAAATAATGCTCACCCATGTATCGCGAATTTACCCATGACATAACCCTATCCATGGTCAATATCGCAGATGTCTTCAAATATTGCTTATTTATGATTTAGCATTATTGAATTCAAATCTCTAACCACAACGGTGCTGAGATATTTGCAAAACTCCGGACCGCAGCTTTCCGCTGTGGGGAACGAACGCGCTATTACCCTTTCCGGGGCTAACGCGTTCACCACCACACCATGCGGGTCCTTCGTTTCGCCTGTCTCTCGGCCTCTCTCTATTCTCTAAGTTTATTTCTTTTGATTTTTATAACATTTGCAGCCATGAATAGTGATGAGCTTATAATGAAGCAGCACTTAAGTGCTTGCATTCTAATCATTAAAGTGCCAGTTCGACTCACTTATTTCAGTAACATGCGCGGCAAACTATAGGTCGGCTGGTAGGACTTTACAAAACTCGAATAGAAAGAACACTCTTTTAAGGAACCATGCCAAAGTTTCATAATGAAGCCCGCCTTACTGTACCATAAAAATAAAACGATAAAGCTCTCGGCGTTGATCAATTTCTGAAGGATGCGCCATGCATTTGACTTCATTAAGCATCGCATGGAGGTGATTTAATGTCCATCTGGGCTTTACAATGACTCGCGGTGGCCTACCGATGCATTGAGCCAGTGGTGCTATCCTCTCAGACAGGTCTAGAGCACAGGTCTAGAGCCGATCCAAGAGAGATAGAAGAGGATGGTTGTTGTTCATGGTGGTGGTTTTAGGTGCAGGGCTTTTCTATTAAGGTTATGAAAGTGCTTGGTTGAGTAGGTTGCGTGTCAACCAGACATTTACATGCACTGAAAAAGTTCAATCTGCTGAAACGTCAGCTATCGTTAATAAATAAATAGTGTAATAACAAACTCATCTTTCTTCATGAATAAAGCAGTAAATTATTGATTAATACCGAGGTTAATACAAAATCGGTCCTGGGAGTTTCAAAGATTTTGCACACTTCAGGCTACACTTGGAGCTTATCCACTTGCCTGATAATCAACCGAACGGTTACTTCAGAAATATTAGTTATCTAGCCGATATGGAGAATTTCGCGCAGGGGAACCAGTAAGTTTTGTTTAGCTCAGTAGTTTTCTCGTGTCACAGAATTTTTTGAAAATATTTTTGATATCTAAGGGGACAAGAAAAAGAAATAACCGGGTTTGTTATGTGCTGATATAGTTGAATTCGGATGAAAAATAATATTTGGCCGCCCAATATATTGGTGGTCTTACTTGTTTTTCGACAAGCGCTGATAACCCCTCGATGAGTGGAGTGGTCGAATAATTGAGGGATTCACTTGTTTATAGAAGAGATTTTGCACTGTCTATATGATTTTTATCAAAAAATGCTTCATCAGTTTTAAATTTGATCGAAATTAAAATCTTCAAAAGCTTGAAAATACCAGCGAGGAACGTCAGCAACACACTCAGGAGGATTAATATGTCCTCCGAGATAAAATCTTGAATTTTCAACCACCGCTTCGGTGTTCGAAATACGACTCTCGATGAAAATTGCGAAGAAAAAGAGTTTTGGGATTCAGAAAATCAGGATTTAATCCTAGCAGGGTAACAGAACTTGTTTCGTTCTGATAGATCTGTAGATTTTACTGTTTCTCGGTATCAGTAGGAACATCTTCGGTTAACTTGAAGCTGGTCATTATGTTTGCAATACGTGAATCATGTATGATTCATAATTTAACGATTATGTTAAATAAACAGTTAACGTGTTGTTTTATTAATTAAAATCCTTTTTTATGGTGGATAATCAGTGTTTATCGTTCTTCCACCTCGATTGAAAAACGAATTACCTTTGAAAGTCTCGCTTTTCGTTCTTTCTAATACTGATTCTAAAGACCTTTTTAAATCACGGGCTCTTTTTGTAGTTTTGCTCACAACTTCTGGTTTTCGTCAGGCTTCCACGCCTTTCACGTCAACATCGAAGTGTAAAGTACTGAAGAATTTTGCCTGTTTTACAGCTTAATGTTCATAAAAATTTTTCCGTACTGTACATAGAGACATTAAAATTGTCATATCCGTTAGAAAAACTATACTTAAAACATCATTGCAGTTTCAATTCCTTCATGGATCCGTTTGAAGAGGAACGTCGTCTGTCACGCACGGAAGTATGGGTGGAATCGACATCACCTGGTTATCCAAGCAACCACGACGAAGGCGATGCCATCTTTGCGGTGCCATCTGGAGAATGCTTGGAAACTCTAGAGGTAAAGAGGACAAAGGTCTCGTCGTTGATCATTTCCTGACGTATGTGTCATGCATTCAACTTCATCAAGCACCGTTAAAGATGGTTGAATGCATATCTGGCCTATTGAATAACTTGCTGTGATCCACCGATATATCGGGTCAGTGCTGCTATCTTCCCAGATAGGTCTGGTCAACTTGCCGACCTCCGAGGGATACAGGGATTGATGAGTCTTTGGATGCGGGATCGAGCCCACGTGTATTGCAGGGCCCTTCTAACCACTGTGCTACACACCTCTCTCTAGAGGTATTCAGTAATAAGTGTTATGCTTTTTTCACACATGCGTTTTGCACTTCCCTTTGCCGTAATAATTTCCTTCCTTATCGTGACGTGGTGGTACGGAGATTAATCCTCAACAGCCTACCTTGGTCGAGAAAATGTTTGAAATTTGCATCCATAACTCTAGCTAGCAGTAAACCAATGTTTAGAATCGCTGTCATTCTGAAGCAAACCTCATTGTAAGGTGTAAAATCTCTTTCCTAATAGAACCTTCACCGACGGTTTATGGTGGGATGGTTCTCCTTGGCTACGTCGAGGCTTTAAGAAAGTGACACTTTTCCAACAGAGTTTATTTTTAAACGGAAGCGGATTCGACTTTGTATTGTTGTTACACAGGGCACGCGTGACGCAGTGGTTGGAAGCGCCACTGCCACACGCACGTGGAAATGAACCCCGTGCCCATGGCCCACCAAGCCTTCCATCCGTTCGGGGTCGGCAGATTGGTACGAGACTTGTCTGGGAGGATAACAGCACTGGCTCGATACATTGATAGGCCACCGTGAGTCATTATAAAGGCCTGATATGCGTTCAATCACCTCCGACGATACTAAATGAAGTCGAATGCATGGTGAATCCTTCAGGGATTAATCAACGCGGAGAGCTTTATCCTTTTTTATTGTTATATAGTGTCCTCTATTCTATCAATATTTTTGCTCGTCACCATTATCATGTGTAATTCCTTAGTCTAAGTTACTTATGCGGAAGCCTCAATTCGTTCGCTTGCGTATCTCAGGCTCCACATGTTCTAACGAAACGGTTAGCGGCGGAGTGTAGAGGTTCAGATTGATGTAGAATATTAGCCACGTGGGTCTTTCAGTTGTCGTAGTTGATCAGCCTCAAACCTGGGTAATTAGACCTTTAATACATAAATAGAACACTAGTAACATGATAGTAACGATAGTGAAGTAATGGTACAGAAATGACACAAGTTAGAGCTCTGAGGTGCTAAGGCTTGTAGTGAAATGAGGCTAACAATGAGGCAATGGCATTCAAACATTATTATACCATTAATACAATATTAACTATAATAATGAGATTACAACGAAGTAGCCTTTGGTTAGCCGTGAGCGATGCCACGCCGCGTCTATCCGCGGCCGGTGCGGCGGCTGCGGGGGGCGGAGGGAGGAGACTGTATGCCGCGGAGATGGGGACAGTATGCTGAGGTGGTGATGGTTACAGACTGGCCGTGTTTCGGCCAAGCTAAGATTTCAACGCTATAGCGATGAAGAGCATTTTAGTGGATCGATGAGGACTGTAAGTTACATGAGCGTTGACGGTGCTGTGGACAGTGAATGATGAGTCATCTACGGAACACAGTCAGGCGGCTGGTCGTGAATAACGCTATGTCAGCAACGTGAACTTTGAGCATCGATGGGTGCCACCATTGCCTAAGGGTGAGGGCCAGTATGATAAATGGCTACAAAACTGATAAGCCTATAGCGGCTTAGCAGAATACATAGCATAAGTTGGCCGCTTAACGGCATTGTACACATTGCGTGAACATTGTGGGAGGAATGGTACATGCCACCGATGGCGTTGCAAACAGAACGCATTTGGAAACACCCGCGACTACTGATATCGCACCGTA